TAGGCTGCAACTGCGCTATCATAAAATTTCCCATTATGAAAGTAGGAGACAACAATCTCCTGGATAAACTGTAATATTAGAAAATCACATACTCCATAAATGAAAACACCAAGCAATAATGCAGTAATAGGCCCATGATGAGCTTTGCTTTTAGATTATGTCTGTGTTTGATTGTGTGCTGAGACAGTTTAACCTGAGCTGCAGTTCACTGCTCTGCAGCATATCTTAGGCTTGACTCAAGCCTGATGAAGTTAAAAAAGATGTTTCTACAAATTCTACTTCTCTTTCAAGTTACGGTTAGCATCAGAAGACCTACTTGGCTGGTTTTGCTGTGAATTTCTGTGCTTCTCAGTCACAGATGTGATGGATTATGACTGAGTATATATTGTAGTAGCCCAAATGAAAGTGGGTCTTAAAAAGGTTCTCCCGCATAAAGTCTTCTTGGCAAGGGTTGATTAAAATTTTCCTGAAAGTGATAAAAAAAAAAAAATATTACTAAATGTGCATCAATACTGCTGTTTGTGTAAGTTTTTTTAAAAAATAATCCAAAAACAACAACAGAAAGGTAGGGAGGAAAAGTTCATTGTAAAGAGGGATGAGTCCCTTTCCATTCTTCCCAGCCAGTGGTCCTACTATTTACTCCCGGTTTCAGGTGAATCTTTATCTTGAGAGCCAATTTCATTGCCAAAAAGTGTTTGTAGGTAATATGCAAACCCAACATCATGATGCCAGCTTTGCAGTCTAATATCATGAGATCCTGACATGTCTATACACAGAGAGGTGATATCAGCGCTTGGAAAATGTGCTAGAACTTTCCTACGCTGATGTGACTCTTGCAGCATTTGCTTTGCTCTGTGAGCCAGGTACATAGAATTCCTGTGCTGTGTCTCCAGCAGAGCCCTGCTGCTGCCAGGACTGCTGTAACTAAAAGAAGTATTTTCCTACAGAAAAACAACCAAAAAACAAACCCCTCTTACTAATGTTTGTGCTTTATATTAGACCGTTAAGGGTACGTTTGCTCTAGAGAAACTTCACTGGCTCTGTTAGCTTACACCGATGATCATCTAGGTCTACTGTCATTAGAAGGAATGTAAATAGGACAACTTCTAGATCTTGGCAACTGTGAACTTTGCATGAGTTTGAAAACGAACAGTTGTGCTGCAAATTTGATGGGGTAAGGAAGATACAGTTATCTCTTTGTTCTACATGAAACGTTTAGTGTATGGGATTGTGGCCCATGTCTAAGGTTGCTAGGAATGGCAGTACTAATCATTTATTTCTTTAAGGCTACTTTTATATAAATCTATTTATAACATGGGACTCCTCACATTCCTGTGACATTAACAACTGCAAGGCTATGAGCACAAGTGTCTGAACTGAGATACCTGTTGCTCAGCCGCTGAAATACCATTGTCTGACACATTGCAGTGCAGATAAGGGCCCTCTCTCCATAAAGCCCTGTGGAAATAGTGGTTTCAGAAGCAGACACATATTGACTGAGATGGTAATATTTTTCACTGAGGCATCAGAGGATGAAGGCCACATTGCAGCACTTCTTGGAATGGCCTGAGTGGAAAATGGCACCAGTCACACTGAGGAAAACAGGCACACATGCGACTTACCCTGTAGAAACACCCAAAAAGCATTGGAGGTGCCTTTGTTTTTTTCTGAATGTCAAGCTTGCTGTTGGTTTGCATATGACTTCAAGAAAAATGCTCTTTGCTACTCTGTCTTATCTGAAAATGTGTGAAAATTTACTCTATGTGTTATGATGAGACTTTTTAGTCCAGTGGTAGATGAAAACAGTTTCCAGAAGTATGGAAATTAGGCTGTAACCTGAAAAACACAGGGACTAAGATCCCTGTCAGTATGTGAACATTGGAAAGATTGGCAAATCGTGACTGCTGCCCTATGCAGTACTTCAGTCTTGGCTTACAATAGCTTTTATTACACCGGCTCTTGGCACCTTCTTTGCACGACCACCAGTAGTAATCAGTTGCTCAGCAGTTTTGTGGAATTGCTTGATCAGACCAAACATTTTCACTTGTGACCCAAGTCTGAATTTGAGCTCACACCCATGGAGGTGAAGAACTTGTCTGTTAACTCACCACACTGCTTGCTGTTGCCTTTGCCAGCAGGCTGCTCTCTGAACAGCTGCTGCAGTACAAAAGGCCAAAGGGAAGCGCCTCAGTTTTGCCCTAGTGCTTTGACACGTCCGAGTCACTGGAATATTCCCAAGTGCATGGTAAACTACAGGCAGTCTCTCCGGTGCAGAACAGGCTGTACAGCTGACTTTAACTGAAACATTAATCATCTCTGTCCTGAATTATTTTAATCCAATCAGTCATCTATGTTAAAGGGTGTAAAGAGACAGCAAAGTGGAAAGAATGGCTGCGAAGTAGAGGATACAGGACACAAATAAAGCTGCTAAGGTGAGGTGAAATATGAACTAATAATGATTTATTCCAAATGCCACTGTGGTTGCAGTGTGAATCACTTGGAGAGATATGCAGGTGAAATTAACTTTGTAGGCTTTCCTTTGAATGATTTTTATGGTCTCAGTAGAGGTGAAGGGAAGGCAAGGCTGTTAGATACACAGGGAATACACACAAGAGTTTTGAAGTGCTCCCAAACAAGTTCTCCCAAATTAATATATGGTTTTCAAGCCTCTTGTAAGTAGATGAGCATGAACAGCTGTAGATCTTTTTATAGATACAAACTAATCTCTAGTACATGTTGGAGTTGAAGGATATAGACAACAACATGCTGTGGATTCGTAAGGCTTTTCTAGCCATGGAAGTATTCTTTTTATACCCTCTAAAAGTGGAAGGGAATGCAGAAGAGTGCAGAGTATAGTCTTCAAGAACACTACTTGGGAACAAAACCATGACAGGAGCAAAGGGTCTAGCTCTTAATGACACATACGGTGTACTTACTAACACATGAAACAGCATGTATAGGTTTTGACCTATTTTCTTGACAGGTTCAGCCTTTTCTGACCTATATGAAATGGGCAGCATTTGCTAACATCTCTTCCCAGTTTTCACTAGTGTGAATGGCCTTCATGACAAAGGATGGAAAGAATTACATGCTTTATGTTTTAAAATCATTTTAGAAGCCTAAGCAATAAGACATAATAAAAATCCTGAGAGGTGATTAATATCTTTGATCAGTACTTCCTGTTTGAAGATGATGTGTTTTCTCCCCTTCTTTCTCATTACTAGCTGTATCAGTTTAATATTGTCCTCTGCCTGGAGACAATATCCGGTTGTGGTAGGTAAAGGGAGGAGCTGTAATAGCTTCTGTCCACCTCAAATGCCTGCAATTTTATTTACATAAAAACATAACATCCTGGATTTTGAACAGCTTGTTTCTTTTGGCAGTTTATTACCAGCCTGAACAGCCCACTTTTTCATGATCTAACATTTGGCTGCTGCAGAAGTCATTATCACCTCCATTTTTAGTTTTAATAACCTTGCTTTTAATAAACCTCAGTTTGAAGTAAGGTTCCAAAAGTGTGCTTCAAAACAATGCCACAAATCTTCTGGAACCCACTGATTATTTTTTTCCCCTCAAAGGAATAAGCTGATTACATTTTTATTGATTTTATGTCTTTTTCTGATGTGACATAGGGAAGAACTGATTTACATAGGACTTTCTGGGTTCCCTCCATTATTACAATCAAAGGGAGAACTACTGGAGGGCCCGTGGGGAAGAACTGTTTCAGTAACTCCTTGTGCCCGGTGCATTTTGGGCACAGAAGGTATATATCCCCACTGTGGACTGACTATACCTATTCTTGTGAAGTAGACTGCTATGGATTGCAAATGAATTCTGTCCATTTATTCTAATTTACTCGAAGGAGCACTGGGGGAAAGCAGAAAATCACTATTTCATAGAACTCTGTTCCTTTCCTTATGGGGGAAATAAGTACAATCTCCTGGATTTAGTCACCATGAAAAAAAGCTATAGGATGCTGCTGTTTAGAGAAGGGAAAAATTAAACTGCTAAAGTGAGGGTGATGTGGATTCCACACATCTCTAGAACAACTATTTTTTGAGAAGTAACCCTTCTTCTCCCAGGATTTACTTTAGAAAAGTACATCTAAAGGTAAACTACTTTGAACTATTAAAAGGCAGATGTATGGACGTACCCGTAAGTAATTTAAGTACAAACGTTACTTTGAATTCTGCATTCTTCTCATGAAACCTGCTAAAGGAAGGTTGGAAGGAGTTTCCTAACACTTTGCTATTGCTCTGGGGAGTTACTGAAGAGTGGGTTAAACTGGTCTCTTAAGTTACTGTTGGAAAAAGTACCTAAATATGGGAAGGACCATAGGCTCATCCTCAGTGTGATTCCTTTCTCTTTCCCCAGAATCTCAGAAATTAAAATAACGATCTGAGACCTGAAATTACTGCTCAAGTGCATTGCCTTTCAATTGGATTGTAGAGGAAAATGAAGGAAAATATGTCATTAATGAGAGAAGGGAGCACTGACTATGTGATTAAGTTTTCATTTGGTTGAGGAACTTCACAATAATGAAGAAAGCATCTTCAGGAAGTAATGTACATCTTCCCCCAGATCTCTCAGCTTTAGCTCTGGAATAGCTCTGGAGTTAAAATTACACTAAGTGAACAAAGGCCAGTTTTGAATCTCATACTTCCCCTCCCTCTCAAGTTAATCCTTGGAGGCTTTTAGGTAAGATCCATGCAGTGGTGGAATATACCTGAGCAGAATAAAATCCAAGTGAAAGAAATTGTCTCATGAGCTGCATAAAGAAGAAATAATAAAATTACAGTGTGACTCAGATCAAGAATTGCACCACTGGAGAGAGCTCTGATGCTGAAAAGCTCGCACCCCTTGATATTATCCTTGCTTGTCTTGTTCTGTGTCTTTGTAGGAGCATTTCAGAACAATGTAGGAAGGTGTTCTGGATTCAGCTGGTCCATAGGTGTTGCAGAGGCATTGGCTACGGTGACATTCTGACTTGCACCACTCACTTAGCTGCTGGACTTCTTGCTCTGCTTGTGGCTGTTGATCTTAGGGTACAGGAAGCCAGAGTTGTATCCAGAAGTCAGCTCTACTCCTTGGACATTGCTGTGTGTTACTCTGATGCTGGGTATCTGGGCTGTAGATGGTCCGTGGTGAGACTCTCCTTTTCTTTGTCCAATACCATTCAGGCTCTCACCTCTCTAAAGGATGCAAGGATTTAAAAGAAATGGAAGACACTAGTATCTACAAGGTGATCAGGTTGCAGCATCTACGAAAATCTGGCATATATTTAGGCAAGCACTTTGCCGATCCCCACAACTGACTCAAAACCAAAGATAAAGGATGAAGGAAAAAGTAGATCTGAACATTTTTTCAATATTTAATGAATGACGATGAAAAAAAAAAAACCACCACACCAACCCTGAAAGCACAAACCTTGCACTTGCTACTTCAGAGCTGGTCTATTTTGATGGAAGACCAGGCTAATGACAGCACATTCAGCTATGAACAAAACTGCTGTGAATATGCTCAGACACTCAATTTATTCAATCAAATAATGAATGCCTCCATAAAGAGGGACTGTTTAGGTTCACTGGGGCAAGAGGTGATGTAAAACGTAGTGTTGACAGCACGGATAGTTTGAAAGGGGAAGCAAACTAGAGATTGAGTGAAAACAGGAATTGAGGGTAAGAGTAATTAGCATTTTTTGACAATAGCAATGTTAGCTGTCACTTGCACAGGATCAAAAAATGAGAGTGTTAGGATGAGGCTAGCAAGAGCTCATAAGGATCACTACTAACAATAAAGAGATAATTTAAGATGTTTATATTACAGTGGAGTTAATACTGGAATGATAAAACTGTCTTGTTTTCACCTGTCAACACTTTTCTCTTATTCCCCTGTCTGTCAGGAATTAAGGCGAGTTGACTCACTTGTAGCAGATGTCAAAGAATTTTTATCACTGTGTGTGTTACATGGGAGAAGAAAAAGACATTAGCAGAACCTGTTACTGAATAGATGATATGGCATGTTTCAAAAACTTGCCTTGATTTCCTCATAGTTGCATTTTTTAGATGTTTGCTGCTACCCAAAACAGTGAACATTAAATAATTAACAATGTCGCTTTGTACATCAGTACTTGCCACAACACATGTGGCTGTCTCAGAGGTACAGCCATCAGAATGGCTATCTCAGCTTACTGACAATATTATTCATATAAAGATGGCACAAAGCTAATGCTTCCATGCGCCACTAAGGAAATTACAGACCTCACCAGAGGACCTACTGAATTCCAGAAAATATTTAAGTTCCTTGAAGAAGCTGGACTTAGAGAGAACCCTGTATTACGTGTTCTACTTCTGCTTAGTTTCATCAGCAATCTACCTTTTGTGGTCATGTTTTCTATATTCTGCTGGAAGTATTGTGTGATTTTTGCATCTCAAAATAGCTTAATTTGTGCTCAGAGATGGGGATTGTCATTAGTTTTTGTTCCCTAAATTAATTAGACCCATGCCTAATATTAAAATAATAATTCTTACAGTAAGTGTAGTGGTGTACTCTGTGACATTCAGTTCCACCATGGGTATGTCATCAGCATCTACGGGTATGTCATCAGCATCTACAGCTACCTGAAAAATGAACACAGATAAGAAAGACCTAAGTGACATATAGGTATGTCACAGTATTTTACATATGTGAAATGCAAAGTATAGGAAAAAGAAAAAAAAGAAGACAGCAGAGGATTGTCTGAAAACTAGAGATATGCTAAAGATAGCCTTGGGTTTTGCCTCTCACCATATGTGTTCATTTAATAGTAAAAGGCAAGACAACAGAACAACTGACCAAGTAATTTAGACAGTGAAATACAAATATTACTGAATACACACTTAAAACCAGATACAAGACAACGTACCATTTGGATGCTAAGTTCACTAAAACAGCACAATTGCTTGTCAGAAAGGCAACAAATACAGCTGAATAATGAACCAGGGTGCAAATGAAAAGCTGATGACCTTTTACAGCCTCTAAGTCATTACTCATTGTGTTAACTCATAGGTTATCCCCATCTTCTTGGCAGGAACATTCATGGTTAATTACGATAAAATGTGCAGAGTTGTTAACCTACCAGTTGTCAGAGAATTTAGATATTATGCAGTCTATTACCTTCTCACAAATCCCAGAATCATGGCTCTTCAGTTTAGGTTTGGATCTTATGTCACTATTTTGAATTGTGTCTTTACCCGTTTTATAGGAAATCTGCCTGGTAGCAAGTCTGGAGAACACACTGGGGGTATCAGCTTCTGTGTCAGTACAGCCCTAAAATGAATACAGCAAAAACAATCACTTTAGCTTCCTTAGACTTCTGTCCCATTTGCCCCTTGAGAATCAGTTTTACCTAAGAAGAAATTGTAAAAGAGACAGACATTGTATAAAAGACATTTCACAAAAGTTCCACCACATATGACTTCACGAAATCTTTGCTTCTAAGAGGTACAAACAAAACTGTCAAGTCTATTGAGTCTAAAATTTGGCTTCAGTTTGCTTGAGTGTTTATTTTTTTTTTCTCCGCAGGATATACTGCAAAATTTCAAACAATTTCTAGTCTGTTGCCTCTCGTATCTCTGAGGAGACAGTATTTCCGTAGGAGCACCCAGTGAGGAAGCACAGGTGTTTGGAGGAATTAGGGCCAAAGTTTCCAGAGTGGCTTGGGTAGGAGCAGAAATAAACAGAAGGAAATGTCTGGGGACTGCAGAATCGGTGTTTTAGAAACATTTTGTTTCATGAAGGAGCCCTGATTTTATAAACTTTGCTCTGATTAATGAGAAAATTAAAATAAAAAAATGTAAAAGCTCCAATCCACCAGAATTTCCTAGAAGTCAAAAATTGTTTTCCTCACTCTGTCAGCCATTTCACTACAGTGATGAGGAATCACAGAATTCCATAAATTGTAATAAAATAATGAAACAGCTAATGGGGTTGTGAGGAGCAGCTCATGGCAAACCAGCCTAATTTATGTTTGACAGTGTATCTTGCCTTAAAATGGGGGAACATAACAGTGTGATGTACTTTCTTAATGTTTTTTCACACAGCAAAAGTTTTTCACAAGCAATCTGTGAGCTTTGGATGTAGCTTCCATCAGATGAGAGTATGTAATGGCTTGAAAATACTCAAAGCAATTACTGATACTTTCAATTAGAGATACTTTGATGAACTTTCCCCAGGGAAGAAAATAAAAATAAAAGGTGTAGAAAAATGTGAACTTTGATGGAGCTGGAGAAATTTGCCTGATGAGTCTGTACTCTAAGAGAATCCCAGCTTTTGATGCTATACCAGAATTTTAATACATAACAGATTGACTGCTCTAAGGACGATCAGAATTGCTTTTTATGTGTTAATATGGGAATGATAAGGGGAACACAGAAGAAGGGGAAAGAAAAATTCAAGTAATTCAGAACAGTGACAAGACTGTATTTTCAGAAGCATCTTTCTAACTATTGGGAAAGAAGTAATGAAGATGAGTCTACAGAGTGAGGTGTCTCCAGACTGAAATGTCTCCATGGAAGATTTTTAGAAGAGCTTAACAAAATATCCAGGAGGACAATATATTTTTTTTTGCTGAAGCACAAGAGGTTGGGCTAGGCTATTTGCTGGATTCCGGCATTAAAAAAAACCTGTCTACTGTGCTTCCCATTCCATGCATAGAGTGTGTTAGCACTTACAGTCCCGGTTGATTGAATTTTAAAATGGAAGGAACATTATTTTCTGAGCAGCTGTTCTGGAGCTTGGCTCCTCTTCATTGCGAAGAACTGTCTGGAAATTGTTTCTTCAGGATTTTCCAAGGTGCATAATATCTTTTCATCCACAGAATTAAAAAAAAATTGCATGAAGATAATTTATTGGCTTACAGTTTGATGACCAACCTTGATATAAAATACATGGCAGCATTTTGCACTGTACTGCCATTTTGCACTGTGAGTGTATGTCTAGAAATCTTATAGCTTAATTGAGCCACATATGGTACCAAAAAAAACCCAAAATGAATTACCAGCGAGCATTGGAGCAAATTTGTTTGCTTTAAACTTGAGCCCTTCTTTCTACTCTGCACTTCAGCTAAACTGGTATTACTAATAAATGAGTGTTCTGTGGTCACATCAAACAGCTAGAAGAAACATATTCTTGTCAAAAAATCTTGACTCTGTTATTGTTCTGAACAAGATCCAGACTTACTCAAGGCTTATACAAAATCCCAGACTGAAGCATGACAATTGCTTTGAATCTTTCACTTTGGGTAATTTTCCTTCTCAATTCCACTGCTCCACCTCAAATATTATGAGTGGCTTTCCTAAGCAAAAAGAATTGAATTGTTTGTATGGTTCCCCTTCTTTGGCACTGGTGCTGATACAAGAACACACAGTGTTCCTGAAGGAGTCTGTTGGGTTTTTAAGAATCAGGAATCACAGGCTACGAGATGCAATGTAAAAATGTTTCTTTTTTTATTAACCAATTATAAAATACTCCATCTGAACGGTAGCTATGAGCCAGAAGAATTTCATTTCGATGGAACTGAGAAGTCAAAGTATACAGAGTGCAAAGGATTTGAAGTCCCACTGTTATAAATAGCTGCCAGAATTCAGCACTGGTCTGGATTAGATACAGTGATTATATTGACTACGAAAAGGAATCACTGAGAATATTATGGCTTTTCATGTATTTGGAAATTTCATTTAAAACAATTGCAAAGAGCATACTAATGTGCTCAGTCACTTAGTAATGTATCTTTGGGTTGCAAGGGAGAGCCTGGGATGCCATATACTTGCCCTGTTTCCAGCTGCTGTGCAAAACATGTGGCTTCACTTAGACTGGCAGCAGCAAGCTGTTGAGGTCTTCTGTGACAATGATTCTGTAATGGATTTACTGATTTGTCTAAATCTGATGATTAATATGTTTCCAAATACAGCCCGCTCCACTTTCAGAAAGCATTATCTGTTTCATTACAATCTTGCTTTCACTAGAGCAATATATAGTGACCAGCAGTTTCTTTTTGTGTGTGTCCAGGCTCCAAACCGGTGGTCAGACCAAGTATGTTCTCAAAGTATGATCAGACTTTCAAGGGTGCTCTGACTCTAAGATTCCTTTACTTTCTAAAATTCCTCGTTCCATCTTTCCACTCTTCCTTCAGTATCACAAATCATGAAGAATACGAAGATCTACATTCTGCTTTTACACTTCAGCCTTCTGTATTCTATTTCACTTTCTCCCTCTTCGTTCTTCGGAGCTCTTGTAATGAGCACCATAATGCATTTCATCTGAAGAATCTACCATTTGATGGCCTCTATATGAAAATGAATTACTTGCAATTAAAAATGGAAGTGTCTCCCTTACTGATTCACTGTCAGAGAGAGAAGACAGTCGCCTTTTTCCTTTCTGCGGCCCACTTATCTCAGAACACTGGCTGCTTACAGTCGCACGTCTGGAAGAGGGATAACTGCTGAAAGACCGTGAGTCTTTAGGAGAAACCCTCAGCAGGGATCCAAGGCAAGGAACGTATGTTGCAATGGCTGTTCTAATGGATGAGAGGTAGAACCAGTCAGATTTTTTCTGTTAGCATAAAAGTTCAGTCATCATAAACAATGCATTTATTCAGAGAGATGAACTAATGCTGCATGGACTGGAAAATTACTGGGTACAGAAAGAGTTTCCCAGATACCCAATCTCGCATATACAATCACCCTGCAAGATCACTTATTCACAGTGTTCTGCAGAACTCAAATTTATTGCTTGGAAGGGATAAGGGCATTAAAGTATAACTCTTCGAACTGAAGGGAGCTATTAAAATGATGTTTTATCTGCTCTCAGATTAATCAGGGCAAAAATAAAATTCTGTCCCTTTAAACTGAACCTTGCAGAAGTACCACATAATGAATTATTTTAATCTTCCCCTAAGCAGCTATTCTAGCTTCCTGCTACACATCTGTTTGCTGGCTATCTGTGGAGTTGTACAAAAAGTGCAGTTAGATTACAGTGTTGCTTTCCTCATATGCAGCGTAAGGAAAATCTTTTGCCTAGTTTTCCTCTTCCTCCTGTCCTTTCCCACTTAGATGTGCATGCCCACCTCTTCTCTATCCAGGTCCCCACTAGGTCTTTGTGAAGGGTGAAACAGCAGCATATACGTGGCTTTGCTGCCATCCATCAGACCTCACAGACTGCATCTGAACTTGATATGGTAATGACCCTAGATGTTACCGCTTGGAAGAAATACTATCTGAAATATGAAAGCTTGAAGAAAGGTGGGGAAGAACCACAAAATAGGGAAGAGGTGGATTGACTTACTGAATTGCATCTCTCACTGGCTCGGGTAATTTAATGAACTGTTATTTGCAACACTGACAAGCTCATGAAAGTAGTTCAAAAATTTATGGTGCTCTCCTCTGAGGTGGGAAGGTCTCTATCTTTTATCATGTAATCTGTAAATACAGATCAGTATCCATAAACATCTCTAACTCCCATCTGCATAGTAATTTGTTCCAGATACAAATTCCACTGACATTTATATGGCATTGAGAAGTTTTCTTGGCGAGGGCGAGGCTGTCTTGCAGAGGTAAAATGAGCAGGTGAAGCAGAGTTCAGTACTAGTCCTAAAAGTGACAAAGTTACTGTCTGATTTTTTTTGCTATATTAAACATAGCTTAGAAGAGTGAACTTACCTGTATTTGGGGTGAGTGAAGGCGTAGATGATGGGGTTATGGATGACAGAAGCTTTGGCAATCACAGCCGGTATGGAGTTCATAAAGGGTGTTAGGATGTGGGAATACCTAGAGTAATGCAAATGCATCATATATTTAGTACTGAGTTCTCTGTAGTCTACACAGTTATACACTGACAAGACTATGCTTTATTAGTGCAACAGAGGGAGTAAAAGGGGGAGTTCTCTACCCAAACAGTGAGAGAATAAAGTTTACACCCTTTGCCTGTAAAGATCAACACCAGCCTAATTGCATTTCTGAGAAACATGATTTTTTGGGGCTTCTCTTACAGTACTTCACTACTGTGTCTCAGGATGGTGGTAATTCCCATGTTGTTTACCCTCGGGACAGAGTCAGCCTTCAGTAAGTGAATGTACGTTCATCAGAGTGTCTAGCTGTTCCAAACTCAAGAGATATACTCACTGAGTCATTAAACAGATATGCAGGATGAGGCATTATAGGGACAGAAAACTAATAAATCTATTTTCCTATTCAAACTTTATTTTTTGCCTGATCTTAACCAAACAGTGAAGGGGAAGTATTTTTCTGAACTAAACAGGGAAGGGATTCTCAGGTGTCATACATTAGGTCCATGTGTTACTGTGACCGTGCATATACGTAGGTGATGTGACTCTAAAGGATAAAAGAATTATGGCTGATGTCTACCTGCCATGCTGCTATCAGCCAGTTAATTTTTGAAGGTTGGTTGAAGCAGCCCGTAAGGTCTTGATAAGAAGAAAGTCAACAGAACAGCTCAGACCAAAATAACAGTAACACTTCCTAGGCAGTTTCTACCAAATTCTCTGGTACACCTGCTTAGAGACTATGAAAAACTTTTCCTACACTGGTATCAAGCGTTCTAAATGAAACTGCCCAGTAAGTCAGTATTTCCTCCCAAGGATAACATCCTTCCTTTATCACTGCTCTTCTTCCTGAAAAGGCAGCCTAAGCTCCATCTTTCAATTAGCCTTGTGTTCCTATAATATTATAGGAGAAAACAGGTTTTCCTCTCAATCCTCTGTCAGAAGGTCTCTCATATGAGTGCTGCAAACAAACAGCAAAGAGAATTTTTTCTCTTTCTACTTTGTAAGTAGATGGAAGCTCATCTTCTTGGTGAAGAAATTTTTCATCATACTATGGGAATATTTATGCTCGGTGATGAAGTGGAAATGGTTTGCCAGTGGTAATACAGGAATCATTTTGTCAGCTGCCTGAGATGCCATTTCACCTCTAATTTAAAGCTTTTCTCTGATAAAAGTTGTCCAAGTAGCATGTTCTTCAGATACAATTTTTAACATGGCTTCTCCTAATCATACTTTTAAAGCATTGCTTAGAGGTGTCATTCTTCACAGAGTCTGGAGAACACACAACAGCATGACGTTGCTGGAACGGAGGTTTTGACCCTGAGAGAGAGTGCTTTGGTAAGACTGATGGGTAGTTCAGCTAACAGAAACAAACAGTGACAAAGGCTTTTGTTTAAGCTAACCACTCGCAGAAGATACAACCTGTAGACCAGCAATATTAGTGGCCATTACTGTGCGCTACCTCAGTGTTCCCCATCCAAAATATTTTCTAAAGGAATTAAGATTCTTCCTTCATTTTTTGTGTGTTGTTGCTCTGCCAGATGAGTTGTCTTTAGTCCAAGACTACAGCCACAGACTCCAAGTCTGCTTCCCATATATGGCATACAGTGATTTTATCCAAGTTCATTGTAATGTAAGTCCACAGAAGGCCTCCAGGCTTCTTGTTCTATTAATCTCTGAAAAATCGCAGAAGGATTGCCTAAAAGGCATAGTTCAGAAATGCTAAAGAAAACTGCATGAAGCTGTGTTGCTCACCAGATGCGTTCCTGAGCAGAACTTGCACTTGCTCATCTGTCACACACCGCGGAGTTATAACACTGTCCAGATTGCTGTCAGTGGGCTAGAAAACAAGTCCAGTTCCTAAAGCAGATGCTGGATCGTATGGGCCAGCCTGACAGTTCTACATAGCTAAAATGCTCAGCTTAAAGCAGGTCCTTTTTTTTCTTTTTTTGGGGGGTATCTTAGAGCAAGTAGTGCTGCAGGGTAGCTGTGCTGCATTTCTTTGTCTTCTTGCTCTTCCTCTGTCTCTAGACGTCACATATCACCATGGTGGGTGCCTAGTACCTAAGCCCCCCCCATCACAGGAAATGGGACACATCCTAAGGATTTGCATTTCTGAATGAGGAACCTGTTTACCTTCATGCTTTTGCATGTTAGCTACTCCTTGGAATTGTCCCTCTGGATACAAAGGGAGAGAATGCCCTTAGCATTTTTGCTTCTTAAGCATAAGATTTTAGAAATGCTATGTTTAGGAAGCTGCCTACCTATGCTGTGTTTGAGAAGAGGCCCTCCAGTGGCCTCTTCCTTAGGTGTGTAACAAAACTCACCCCTGCCTCCCAAAATGCTCCATCAGAAGTAAGTTTATCCCGTGCGTCAATTTTAGGAAGATCTACTGACTTTAAAAATACAAATAGAAGTGTTTTGTACTTGCACAGGAGTCTTCCACTTGAGGATTTGAAGCTGACAAGACTTTCTAAAGCAGATGGTCACACCCTTTATACACAGGCTAAACTGAAGCACAGGAAGATTCACATATTAACATGGGAGAAATACCCGCACAGAGCCAAGGCATCCAGACTCCCGGTCCATTACTTGTACCTGGGTTGTATCAACTACAGTCTGGTGTCAAGCTATGTACAGATACTGTATTAACAGTATCATGCTTCTGTGGAAATCACTGTAAGAAATGCTGACAACTAAACAGATGAAGAACATGCTTAGATGATTTATATTAGTGATCTTTTATATCCAGCATCAAAAAGCTCCCCAGTGCAAGTAAGTACTAACTTTGAACTTGCTTATACCCATAAGGAATTTCAGCAGTTTGACGTAACACAAGAAATTGAACAGACCTCTGTAAGTAAAAGAAGTGGAGAAAGAAAAGAGAATCAACCCCTAGGTGGATATTTTTGGGCCCCTTATGTAGCATTTTGGCACTAAATAAAATTCAGATAGTTCAAATATTCTAGCGTAGAGACTCTGCACTCAGAAACCATCAGCACAGTACTATTATGTTGCCACTAAAATAACCTTCCTGTTTTCTTTTTCTTTTTTTCTTTACCTTTTTTTTTTTTTTAAGACAAACTAAGAAAAAATTACAGGCAGCATTTGTTAAATGGCACTCCAAAATATGTCAATGTTTTGGATGCACTTCAGGCATTAAACTTCACAAGTAGCTTTGACTTTCATCTGTCTCTTACAATTTCACACCTTTTGCTTTCACTGAATATTCCTTTGCTGATACATTCATAATTACCCAGCAAAAGCTACCAGAGCAACAACAGAGTATGGTGACCAGGAAATGACATAAAGCAAGATGACAATCAGGGCAATTTTGGCCATCTTCCACTCATTTTTCATCCTCTGATACTGTTTCTGGATCTCTTTATTTCCATGTTTGCATCCAAATGTCTGAATAGACCTAGGGGAAATAAACATACAACAGCAAAAAGAGGAGGTGGGGCATTGAGCAAATAGCTTCATACAGTGGGGCAACAATTACTCTTTTGCTAGTTTATGCGAAAAGTCATTCAGTTTTAAGGTGTGAATGTGTGTTTGTGAGTGTATTCACAATTCAATACACTTACTGCACTAATCAATGGCAAAATTCAGGTGTGCTTCAGTGAAGAAAATAGTCCTGTGCCAGGAGAATTTCCACACAAATCAGGTATTCAAGCCAACTGCACAACACTGTATTAAATATAGTTAGAGAAATCTTTGCTTCCCTAGGTCTGATTTTGCTAATTTACTCTCAGTCATTATATATATATATACACACTGATAACTACAGGGCAGACATCTACAGCTTACAAATGTAATGGCAGATGTTGGCCTTTAGGTTTACAATAGTTTTTGTTTCAGAGACCTGTGATTAAATGTTTTACCTCTTTGTCACCTTTTGGCAAACATGGAATTTGTAGTTCAATTCCATCTATTTTCCTGTGGAATAGTTACTGATACACTGGTGTTAGGTGTCTCTGATGTCCCTTTCGTATTTCTTTGGGTTGGTTAATTTCTGTAGTCCTTTCTCATCCTTCAGATTTCTATTGCTGCTGCTCATACCCGTAGCGTCACTAGACAATACTCTGAACAGCTCTGGCTTAAATTCAGGAATGGACCTTCTAAGGATTGTAGTTCTTACCATGTTGACTACTGACAGAATTCTTGTTTAGTTTCCTGTCTCAGTTGTGCATACAAATTAAAAGTGAAAAATTTCCCCATTTTCTTCTGTTAGTCTTTGTTTCAAGAAAATAAGCAGTCACTTAAACAGAAGGATGAAAACTTAAGACTGTTGGTTACTTACTTGTTGGCCTTCTTGATAGCCTCAAATATAAAGACATAGCTGTATATGATAGCAATCAAAGGAATGAAGAAGACGAAGCAGAACAGCAGCATTGTGTAGGCGCGGACTGACGGCGTGAAAGTCATGTAGTCCCAGGAACAGGAAGTCAGCAGACCCTCGGGAACATACGCACCTGGAAGGGCAGACAGGAGAAGGCATAAGCCATGAAGTGATTCTGATTCTGAGTGCAGAAATTAAAGAAAGATACTCAGAATAACATGGGATTTAGTCCTATTCTATTAGGGGGAAAAAGAGTTCAGAAGGATACATGAGTCTTCGTTTAAAACACCTTTTTTTTGTTTTACTGTGTTGCCCTGTTGCATTTATGTTTAGCAGTCTAAGGCGTCAGATTGGAAAACAATAATTTTGTTTCAGTTCTTGAATACTGTTGATAGCTCAGCATAATCAAAGGGCATCCCTCCAAATACTTCAGTTGGTCTTGGAACAGACCTGTATTGTTTTTAAGTATCTCCATTTCCTGTCAAATTGCTGTCTTCCCAGGCAGTGAAATGAAACTGATTGCTGTAGCTACCACTTTTTAAGCTTATGCAGATAAGAGAAATTTACTGTGCAAAGCAGAGAGATTTATTCTGCAGATCAAATTAATTTTGTCATGAAGTGAAGTTGAGTTCAAGTAAAAAAAAAAAAGTCATGCATACGAAATATTCTGTCTGACAAAATATAAGCTCGTTAAAGGAACTGTCATACTGTTCAGTAAAGAAATCATCAACAGCAATGTCTTCTTACCCTTGTATTTTAATTTTCACTGTTTACAGTGATCTTTTCTGTTGAACTCTTAAAAATATTGCACCAGATGTGTTCAGATGCATCCAGTTACCATATGAGTGTTAGTACTGTGGATGCTATTAGAATCTAATGACAAGATAACAACACCCTTCAAGCAATTATTCCACCTCCTCCAATTAATAATCTAGAATCTAAGACTACGTTGCAGTTTTGTTGTTCTAACAGTTTCTCATTCAACTGAAGACTGCTTCTCAGTATTGCACTTTGCCTGCTTAAACATGCTTCATGTTTATGGGGGACCAGAATGACAATAACAAGACTAACAAAAATCTGCTGAAATTCTACTCAGTAACTGAGTTGGTTGCAGCATCCTTTGGGAAAAGCAAACATTGCTGTATCCCCACCTCAGCTGAGCTGACACATTCTCTCCTGGAATTAGGGAGCACAATAACGGGCTGCGGTTTTGAATGATGAGTTCATTCTAACTTACTGACTGAAACTGGTGACTCACAGGAAACAAATTAATGGTAGTGAGGCAGATTCAAATGAGGAAGACTAACAGTAACTCTCTTTGTTACAAGCTGCAAGGAACAAGATGCTGTATGTGTGTTCCAATTTGTAGGCATAAAATTCACATTTACAAAAGGCAATTAGTTCATTATTACTAAATGCCATCCTGATTGGAAGCCTTAGCATAGATACCAATGTCTAAATGGTATCAACACTTAGTACAATTTGCCCATCAAGACTTATTGAAGATGTACTTGCACAAAATACTCGGACTGTATTCCTCTTTTATATGAATAAAGAAATTTAGATTGACAGCTATTTTACACAGCACCTTTGAGGACGAAAAAAGTGATCAGAAAAAACACAAATACATTTATTTCATTTTTATATTGTTGAATTTTGCTCAACTGAAATAGGTGTGAGGTAATAAGCAGACGCATCCCTCATAAAATTTGGCCTTGATTTTATCTACTGATTTTATCTTACTTTATTCAGTAAGTAACTGAATATAAAGAAAAGTGCCATTGTCATGCAATATGCTGTAATACAACTGGATTTTTTTTCTTTTAATAGAGGTCTTCAGTTTCAGTATGTATTTTATCATTTTTCTTGAAATTGATTTACTCAAGCCTAATATGCAAGCCATTAATTCAACCCTCTTATATACCTGTAACCAATCTTTAATCCAATGCTATGAGGGAAAAAAAAATTATTCCATTTTACTTACTCCATCCAAAGAAGGGTGGGAGGCTCCAAGCCAAAGAATACAGCCAGACTCCTACCAGGATTATTAGGGCCTTCTTCTTAGACGTCACTCCAACAGAAGCCAGAGGTTTTGTGATGACAAAATATCTTTCCAAGGCAATCACCATCAAAGTGATCATAGATGTAATGCCAAAAAGAGCTCCGCAGAAGGCATACAGCTCACAGCCTTTCAATGAAGATGACAGAAGTAGCAGAGAGATTAATCTGCTCATGCTAATTAATTTCTAGGAGAGTTGAAGTCTGTTTCTTGTGAATTAATGTCTTCTGGAATTTGTAAAGCAATGGAACTGGTTTTCCTGCAGTTGCAATGCTATTTCAAAGCTGCTGTCTTGCTAATTACATTATCCATGGAGATAAACTTCAGAGATTCTGTTTGCTTGAATTGCTGGAGACAGTGATACTTAACATATTTTCACTCACTGATTACTGATGTTCCTAGTGGGATCATTTCAGCAGTCCATCAATATCTTGTTTAGCTCCAGTTTTACTCTGGCTTCCATAGAAAGAGCTGTTTTGCTTAACAATGGGTTATAGCTACTTTGCTATCATGGAATCATTTACAGCTCAAGGTCAGCATAACTGAAGTAAATAGGCAGTCTATGAATATATTAATGAGTGATTTAAATTATTCAAACAACCTAATTATGAAAAACAGGGATTTGGTTTTGTTTTTTATTTTAATATTTATGAAATTGAACACTTAATGGTACTGGAAATAAAAGTGCTTTTGGTCGTAGGAGATCAAAATAGCAACATCACTGCTCTGACCTTCCTCTCTGTCAGTACCTGTTCAAGAGGCAAAGACTAGTCTTCCTCTTACTACAGTTATATAAGTTTAATATACAGTTATATATACGAAAGCTTATTTCTGTTGTGAAAACACATTTTTGCCAGGCTTTCTTGCCTCAGTTTGCCAGGTGCAAGTCCCAGAGCAAGTTATTCAGAAGAGCCTTTAAGCTGGTGTGTTGGGGGAGTTGGTCCTTCTTTGTCGTAGGACTCAGCCAGTCACTGAGTGATGAGATGACTGGGGAAGAATGCTGGCAAGACTAGTTGTGTTCCTTACGTTGCCAATGTAACCTTTGTATTTACCTATCTCATGTATGTAATTTTTCTCTCCCTGGTGGGTATGTATTTATTGCACACACAAAATGTTCAAAGAAACATTCATGTCAACATTGAAACAATATTGAGAAATGCTCTCAACACTGCAAGTGTACCTGAAGATAGGGAAGTAGTGGATTAACTGCCCCTATGGTAAGAACATACTTAGGAAAGAATATATACAAGCCTTAGAAATATATATCTTAGAAAGAATATATACAAACCTTTCTCACCAAAAATCCAGCGTTTGTGGAGGCTGTTGGTGAAAAAAACTGGAGATTGCGTAATGGACATCAGGAAGTCACTAATAGCTAGGTTGATGATGAATATGTTGGCTGGAGTCTGAAGGCTCCTACTCCTACAAAGATCAGAAGGAATGTTGCTAAACACTGCTGCACTGTTAATTATGCTGTTACTCTTTCCTGTGAGCCTTGGCAGCTTCACAAATACCAAGGCACGCTACATAGCAAGCTACAGCAGGGTGCTTCGCATTTCCCTCACGAGAGAACATAAGCAAGGCTCAGCTTTACACCCTTATACTCCAGTGCACTTTAGAGGATTGTTTTGATAACCAGCTCAGTGATGGGGATAAATCATATTGTTCTTTAAATATTCTGACCCAGTGCACTGCATGTACATGATTAACAGGAAATTAAAGTTGAAGTACTCTATGGATTTGCTGGATCTGGGTCGTGTTAAGCAGGGGGAGGGGAGCACATTTTCCACTGCTGATAAGATCAACAGTGACTTCCAAATACAGGGATTAAGCAAATTCACTATGTACCACATAAAGCATTTTGTTTTACATCAGTTCTTCTCTATGACACTGACTTCACTGGCCCTGACACTGACTTTAAAGAGAGCAATAGCCAACCTTCTGCATATCCTGTCTGTATATGCTGTTCACAGTATTACAGTGCAGCATTTTAAATGGTACACTCAACTGAGTGCTCCTAAGTTTGAGACTCAGTGTAACTTTTGAGCTCCTTTCTCTAATTTTCAGTCTTAGACACAGCTGAAAAATACCAGAATGAGTGATGGGTTCCTTGCACTGATCCAGAATCAATCACTAGGACTACTGTCCCTTATCTGTCAATTTAGGAGCAAAGAGATATTATTAGTAGATGCTTATGGGCCGCTTGGATTTGTTCAGTAGCCTGCAAAGTTACTGAACATATTTCTGTTTCAGGCAGCTGGCTGTCTTACAGTTTGCCAGTACTTGAGACTGCTTGGTAGGCATCTGATGTGTCCTCCAAATTTCTCATGTACTTGATACTTTGCTATGAGTATCCCTCTCTGTCTTCATAACATCTTCAAATGAGGACAGGCTGTGTCCTCCAGTGGCATTGCAACTGCTGTGGCTGGATTTCCTGTATGGGACTAGTCAGAGAGCTAAGCTAGCTCATGTACTTCCTCCTCACATATCTGGTCTGCATGCCATCACCTTTTCTGTTCCTAAAGCCATGTCATTCACACCTACCTGCTGGTATCTACTCCGAATAAACATACTGAAGCGTCCCATTTAATGCACCACATAAGTACATGCTCAAGACCGAGACTACTTTCATCCACACTCCAGTAATTTAAGTTAATGAAGCCAAATTATCATATAATTGCAATTATTTTGGTTTATTCCCCTAGTGCCTAAAGGCTAGTCATGAAGTGGAAGCTTACTGGCCTGGACATCATGCCAGTGTGATAAAACAGACACAGGATGAGTGAACAGGAATGGTGAAAATATCACATTGTTGTCAGAGATCCAATTTCCTTCAGATATAAAAGTTAGAATGTGTCTTTAGTGAAAATGAAATAAGCCAAGTGTAAGAAAATGTGAAAACAAGCAACCTAACCAGTAAGGAATAGAAGGGAAAAAGAACCTGAGTAGTATTCGGCAGGAGGAAGGAATCCTGAAAGAGAGAAGGTATGTGGGAGACACCGGTGCTAAAGATCCCATCAGTCCTGTGCAGATACAGTTCACCCAGTAATAAACAATTCACTGGAAGGTTCCTGCTTTGGCTGCTTTTCTGTTGCCTGGCATCTCTGGGCGATTCGTTGCAATTTTGCTAGCAATTTTGCTAACAATTTTGCTCTGGCTGTGGTGAATGCTAAGAAGTCAGGGGGAAATGGCCAGCTGCCACTTTTTTTTCTACAGCAATGTCTCGGTGCACTTCACTTTGTCTGCACAGTAGTCTGACAGTATGCCTGCACTGCATTTGCAGGGCACAGTCAAAGTACTGTTAAAGTTCATAGATTTGAGTATTTAGAAACATGCAAAACAAAGATACCTGCAGAAAGCATAGATGACCAGGAAGTTACCCAGGGTTCCTGTGATCCCCACTATAAGAATGACTACTCCAATTGTGTAATGAGCATGGTCTGGGACATCCACTGTAGGAAAGGCACCAGGAACATCTTGCACTGTCATCCTCTGTGGAGTAAACAAGAGGTCATAGGTATAATTGTCACACTTCACTGAATAAGCTGGCATGTACTATTCTAGAAGAGGAAATGGTCAAGAATGCAAAGAGACAGCAAGCAAGCAAAAAAAAAAGTCAGAATAAGCTATTTGCTTTCAATTTACATTTACTACTGATCATCTTCAAGGGATAAATATACCATCAGCAGTGCAAAGGTCAAAGGGCGGCTTATATGTTTACAGATGATTCAGAATTTTGGTGAAGAAAAGCAATCTATTCTCTCCCAAAAGAAAGATAAGGATATAGAGGACAAAAAGAGACAGGAAGGGACCCTTTTCATGGCATCTGACAGTAAGTAATGCAGTACTTAACAACAAGTTTTTTGTAGTTTTCATTTCAGGAAAGTTTCTATACCTGTGAAGTACGATTCCTGTTGTCCTTTGGCATCACTGGCTAGTAGAAATTATCTGCTATGGATAAACACGCATTTATTCCTTTAGTAGTATGGCTATTTCATTTCTCCCACGGAATAGCGCTGAATTGCGAGCTGCGTTCAGGACTTAGCTACCAAAAGCCTGGCAGCATTGAACAAGAGTATTTTGGAAACTAAATTAAGGATGAGAAAAACTAAAACACCACTCCTTTATACCTTACGCCTGTTCCCATACCAGTTCTGGTTTTGCTCTGCACTGAATGAAGGTACTTTGCTCTCTGAGAAGTATGTGATAAAGCACTTAGGAAAACATTTGTGTCTTAATCAACTAATAACTCACAGCAAAATTCAGTAGCCAAGTCTGATGACTACAGCACTTTAAATAACAATTTTAAACCATTTTCTAGTTAAGTATCAGGAGCCACAAACACATTTTCGGCCCAGTGACCCCAGAGTTGTAATGAAGGAAATATGGCTGTGCCCAGGAAGCAGGATGACCTGGTACAAATAAAAGAACAGCTGTCCAAACCATCACTGTTCTGCTGCCTTTTGATAGAAGGTCAGGCAAGGAGACTTAAAACACTCACCTCTGTGCAACAGCCACTGTCCTAAACATGTCTTGGCATCAACCAGCTAATGAATTAATGAAAAATAGCAAACCCCGTCCTCATTCATCTGCATGGACAGATCCCATCTCTTCTTCATAGCCAGGCTTTTCTCATCCAGGCTGGCACTGACTCTGGAATGCTTTTCACAACACCCCAGGTATCAAAGGAAACGGGTATTCATACAATAGATGCAGACATTACTTCTGAATACAACTGTGAGATTGGGTTGACGTTACTAGAGACAGTGTGTATTTAAAACCAGTGTGCCTGTAGCAAGAGGTGAACCCCAGGACTGTCTGGAATTCTGGAAGTGATTGTCTTTACTTGTGTGCTGAAGATCTGCCCACAGCAATCCTCAGCAAGTAGAGCACGCTCTATGGGTTTCTATATTAGCAGCCATGGAATGCTGGACAAATACTCTGATCTTGGAGACAGAAAATGTAGCTCTGGCTGTTATTATTATTGGAGCAAAATGTTAAGGTTGATACACTAACTGAATGACAGTATCATGACATTTATTGTTCAGGTTCCTGCAGCAAAGTGTAAGTTGGCAACACATCGTCAACATCAATGGGCATCTTGCCTAGGTAGAAACTGCTGTCCTTAACACACTGTCAGTAAAATAACAAAAAAACCCTATACTAATAGCAAATGGAGAGGAAGAGTCTGAGATAAAACTCTTTTAAATAAATGAGATTGGGTGTTCTTTGGTTTGGTTTTTTTGTTTGGTTATTTTTTCTCCTTAGCCTTGTGGCTAGAACTTTTTTTTAGCTGTTGTTCTACAGAAAGTTAATCATGATTATTAATGGAATGGAGATTTCTGATGTTGTTCCCTATAGCTATCCATTTAATCAGAACTGGATCAAGGTAACAGAAATGAAGCAACCAAAGGAGCTTGTTTTGGCTACAAAGAAAAGATTAAAATGGCTTTAAGTTGAATTAAATTTGTGGAGGACCAAGGACAAGGAAAATTTTAAAAGATGAATATAAGTACACAGAGAAATCACAACAGAGGAAAGGTTATTTGAAGGATAGTATAAGACTCTAAAATGACTTATTCAGGGTGGAAACAAATTCAGAGTCAATAAAAATGTCAGGTGAGAAAAGCATAAGGGAATAATATTTGTATTGGAGCAGTGATAGGATATAAATAATACTAAACATATGGGGAAAGCAAAGGTCCGTGGCAGAGGAATAAATTCACATTTTAGTGTGGACTTGCTGTAGGCCTGGGTCCAACTCTGGCTGTTATCTAAGAACAAAAAGTCCGTTATTTAAAAAAGTAATTTCTCTGCTTGTATTGGAAACACAGATCTGATTCAAAGCTTCTTTAACTCAAGGAAAGGTACTAGTTGGATGACAAGGCATTAAATCAGGCCTAAGCACTTCAAGCTCATCACTGAGTTGCATACATACAGCTTCCTTACTAGAAGATGAAAGCACATGCCTGTATGAAGTTCAGCTCTGGATCTTCAAAGGGAATTGTATGTCAAAAGAAAGAACAGGAAGAAAAAGATAGGACTTGAAGAAATCAGGTCAGCAGGATAATGAAGAAATCAGACAACTCCTACAGCTTTTCTCCATTCAGTTTCCCCACCAGATTAGCCTTGTTTAGTCTGTCTTCTGTTGTCACGCCATGGTATGAGTACTTGGTTAGCGGCAGAGAACAAAAACCCCACTGTGGCAATCCCCACTGGAGCGATTGTCCTTTGAGAGTACTCTGAACAGCTATTTCAATCACACTGGTACTAGAGAGCATTGTTGCCTTCCATGTTTTTCTGTTCAGCCTGCCTTCTATAAACACCTCGTAATGAAGGTAAGAAAAATGAACAACCAGCACTTCATTATTTCTCTTCCAAGTGATATGACAACACGGTTTATTTAATGTAACATGTTTGAAACGTCACCAAATGCACAAAGAGACTGCACTGGAAGCTAAGAGGTTGGACATTTTCCAGTAGATGGACAATGGACTACAGCTTTCCTGAGTCAGCAAATGAAAGATGCTTGTAGCAGAGGCTCTGGACCACTGGGTGCTAGTATACCCACGGGTCTACTGTGCTGTGGGTGGCTTAGATGGGCATTAATTCTGTAGGAAACAATTCAGTGGGAAGTACCAACTTCCTGAAAGTCAGCCAATATAAATTCTACATATTTCTCAGGCAAGCAAACAAGATGGTCCTGGAAGCTGTGAAGGACATCAAGGTAGTAACAGTAATGTAACACAATATCTTCTCAGTAAGTACTGAGGGACAGTTGGAGAACGTATCTTCTAGCCAAGGATGGCATTTTAGTCAACCTTAAAGCAGGTTTTATAGTATTGCTTGGGTGTGTATGAAACTGGCCTTTTGCTAGAACTGTGAAAGAATTTGTGGTTTTAATCTCTGATAGGCATGTCATTTAATATTTATTCTTTACTTTTACTGTAGTTTTGCAGAATGAGATGGATAATTTTAGTGTGGTAAGGACCTTGGGAAGTGCTACAGTGATTCAGACCAGTATTCCTGGCAAAACATTGACCTGCCGTTGGCCATGGCTTGGTGTTTCACAGAGCTCTGAAACTCACATAATGAAAGTGATGTGGGAATTTAATTTTCAGTAGACTCTTAGCAGTTGGTTTGTACCCTAAACCAAGATTATTATCCCTTTGAAAGGATAATCTTAATGGAGCATATTTTTATCCTCCATATATTGGAGTAATCCTTTTCTAAATCCTTCTCTGTCATTTGCCTTAATAGAGTCAGTGGCAAGAAGTTACTAGGTTAGAAAGTTGCTCTAAGTTGGTGTATTTCCTTCCAGCAGGTTTAAGTGGAAACACTGGAATGGAGGGAAACAGCTAGGTTTAATGCAGTCTGCTTTCTGAAAATGCTCCTTGCTCTCTCTAAAGGAATGCTTGTCTACTGCCTACAACAGAACAGCTAAGCCAGAACTGACCGTGTTTTCAGTGCCTTCTGCAGCCACAGGGAACTTCAGTGTAGGGCAGAACTTGTATTTCACCATAAAGTTTGTCAAGACCCTGCAAGGTGCTGGTCCAAAGAGAGTTGAAAGGATAAAGGAATTTTGCAGTCCAGGATAAAACCATGATTCCTAAGGGATTTCTCTGGGTTAGAAGGAAGTCTAAGTTAGATATAAAACCCAGGAATATTTCATGCCTGAATGTATTCTGCCTTGGGATTCTGTTTATTATACACATTTTCCTAAAAAGAAGGTTTTCTAAATAGTTATTTCCTAATTGATTAAAAAAAAACCAAACCCAAAACAACTAAACCAGCTCACCTCTGAATAATAGCACACATGCCATTTTTGAAAGTCCAACCCTCCCACAGCAGGAAAAAAATATTTGTGTATAAGTGAAAAAGGGACAACATGCAAAGAATACAGTTCAGCTATTACTGGGGGAAAAATCTGTTCTTTTTCAGATTTCAAAAGAAATCATATCACTTAATTGCTGTTCACTGGGAGACGTTGATTCCTGGAGTCCTAAAGCTAACAATGATGATGGTAGGAACAAGGCCATGCATGTAAATACTTGTGCTGAATATAAACCATATTTGCTATAGCCCAGTCCTCGCATCTCCCAGTGGCAGGTTTAGTTTATATTTACAGGGAAAGAAGAAATCCTCATAAGGTCATTTGGGGATTCAGACATATTTCAGCACTGGTTTTGATTGATTAATTGATTTATTTGTGTGACATTGTTTCAAAAGCCAGGAACAGAAAAGACTTACAAATAGACATTTTTCAGCTACTTCTGCCAGGACATCAGGTGGTTTATATCTACTCTGGTGTAAAACAAGACAAGGAAAGGGAAATAGTGCCTGCTATGTCATTGCTTTTATGAATTCACCTAGCTTCAAACCATAGTCATTGGTTTTGCAGAATGACTGTTTTGATGGAATAGAGCCCAGGTCCAAAACATCGCAAGTTTTGGCAGTCCCACACTGACTTTGGCAGTGTATTAGGTCTCTTTGTTCTTAATTTTCCAACAAACACAGGTAATAAAGCTGCTTATTTACACAGCACGACTTAGACAACCAGTGGTAGTTTTAGGCCTTTTACATTACAACAAATCATATAGTTTAGCAAAATTACCAGAACAGAAAAACTGTAATTTCCCAGGGTTTCTAGGTGTCGTGTTTGTACTGCCTACCTGCAAGAGGCCTCAAACAACTTGTAGCACTATATTTTTCTTCACAGTTCCTTACTCCGATTTCTGGGCTTGCCTCTTGAAGACAGGCAGCACACGAGGAGTGTAATCCCACCTCAATTACGGTTTCAGCGGGGTGACGCCAACTGCTAAGCCCTCTTTCCAGCAGGCAGCAGGGCTTTCCATAGATGATGTTTGTCCCTTTGAGCAATTTGGATAGCAGATTTTGTATCGTGTCTTCCGGATTTAATCTCAACCCCAAGCAGCACATATTGCTTTCAGTCCTGAAACTCTCTTAAACTAATCTTTGTGTCAAATTAAAATGCAGAAGTTTGAAAATATACTTGCCTTAGTGAGAGGAAGTGGACAACTAATTACCTCTTTCAGCAGAATAAAGAATTAATTTTTAATTTTCCAATGTAAATCACTCTTCCCCAGCATCCTGTTCCATTTCGCCATGCGCTCTCCAGTCCTTTTTCTCCCTCCCTGCTATGTTCTACTATCCTCTTTCTTATGTTATCCATCTAATTTAGGTTGTAAGCGCCTTGGCTCAGGACGCTTCTCTGTTGATTTTCCTGTAATACACTGCGCACATCCAGATTTTACTTAAAAAATGAATAGACAGACTGAAATTTTACTGTGAAAATAATAAAATATTTACTGGTCCTTCACTATGAAGTAGGATCAAACTGAAACACACAATCCAACATTCTCTATGCATAAAAACTTTTGGAGTGTTTGAAACGTGCACACAGTTGTGCTGTGTGGGCCATGCCAAAATATCTGGTGTGACCACGTCAAGTTTTGAAGTTGAATTTCAGGTTTTAAAAACTTTAAAAATTAGCTTAGGTAATTTTTTTATTCTTTACTTTTAAACAGACTTTTATATAAACAGCAGGTGAACAAAGCTTTGTAGTCCTAATAGTATACTGAGGCACACAACCAGGAAGAGACTTTCTGAACTCCTTTGGTTTGGGCTTGTGGGGTGGGATGGAGAATATTTTTAGTGTGTCCAAAGAAATTCCATCCTGAAGTGTCATCACAACAGATTCTCACCTTCACACTTTGAAGGAAGTTTTCTTTCTCTTTACTATTTAACAACTGAGAAACAGCTTTGATAGAACTTACCTGGGAAAACCTCCTGAACAGCTGTCTTGGGTAACTGCAAATAACAACTCTTTAACATTTAGATACGCACTCCACTGCAGCGACAGACTATTACAGAAATGATGGGGATTTCCATCTTGAATAATAAGAAAGCATTGTGTTTGAACTGCTAAACAGCTGTTTGATGCACAAGAACTTGTATTGATGGTTTGCAACATATTTGGTGTACTCCCTGTCTTCTGCCGATGTGCTTCTGCTAAAAACACTACTTCTACAGTCCTTTCTGCAGTAAATAAACAGTTAAAGGAATAAAAATATTTTGAAATTTTCATTCTGTTTTCATTCTGTGGTTCTTACAGCATTAAATGTGTACATGCACCTTAAATGTCCATTCACAGTTCTATAAATGCCAGCTTTGCCAGCAGAACTACTTGCTACAGCTTTTAGTGACAGAAAACACTTACTGTTGGGGCTCTAAGAGGCAGGTCCATCAGTGTGTAGACATTGGCTTCCAAGTCATTCCATGCATTGATTCCACAACTTTGGTGCCGTTTGGGTCCTCAGAGGGAGAAGAGATTCCCCTTTGAATGGACTGATTATTCAGATGAAGAAAATCTAGGCAATAACAAAGAAAAGCTCTCCTCTGAATTCAAGCCAGACAATTTACCTTTTTGTCTGTGTCTAAAGCAGGTTGTCAGATTCTCTGGAATAATGAGAGGTCCATTGCAGAGTTTGTCACTAGAGCTTCAGATTGTTTCACTCCATCTTCAGCTTAGCAAAGGGCGGCAGCAGCAGCTGCCATTTAAATACAGGAGACGGTAGGGTCCGCACATGCCCAGTTTGAAGCTTGTTCCATCCTGATGCCTGCTTCTCTCTAATGACAGTATAAAACTGATCTTCACATAATAGTGCTGTTATCTTTTTTGCCTTTGTCGGATTTATGTCTGAATTTTAATGCTATATCCACATTATCCTTATATGAAGACAGGAAGTTAAAAGGTTGACTTTACTATTGGTCTTAAATATGAGACCTTACTCTTCATTTTCACTGTATCGGTGAATTAGTTTTTTGTAGTCTGCTTTAAAGAAGATGTGTGTGTACAGTTCTGCTGAAATTGTCCAAACTCAAATAGATTCTGATATTTAACAATGTGCTTGTGTGCACTTCTGTCTTGTAGAATTTAGGTCATGTTTATTTGTTGGTCCAGTTCTAAAAATAAACAAAAAATAGGGATAAAACCCACTGACATCATCCTTTTCTGCTCTTCAGTTAAAAAAAAATAAAGGCGGCACACAAACAGGCAGAGAACAGCAAATAACCACTTGTTTCAAGAGTCATCTGCTTTCTTTTTCAGGTTTGTTTGGTTGGGATTTACGTGAGCAGATTCTTACTCACACAAATCTTCCTTTACATGGCATGTGCAAGAGAGATGAATTGCTGAATTCCCAGTTTGAAGACTGGTTTTCACTGTGGTAAAGTGAAATTTAATTGCAATAGAGAATTAGGCACAGAGTATGAAAAAAGCTGTTCTCGCAGATACTGCAGCCTGAGTATCACAGAGTTTAGGCCTTCCACCCACCGTCAAAATTACCCTAATGCAAGTTATTAGCTTCATCGCAGTTGGTAGTAAAAATAGATGGTGTGAAATGTTTCTAGAAAGCTTTTGTGAGAAGGCTGTGATAGTAAGGTGGGAACTGTAGTCCCTCAGCTCTGCACAGATTCCCCTTCTCACATACCTTTACTTAAATCTGCACTTGCTGTACCTAACCTTAAATTAAGGGAAAGGGGATCTCATTTCCTTGCATGGACAAGACCTGTGCTTCTATATCAAAGGCACTCACAAGTGATACTGCAGAATCCCTTTCCTTGATAGTCATTTAAGGAAGGTGGCATTTACCTTGTGTCACCAGGCCACTGAACATTAACCAGAGGAGATGCTTTTTAGACTTTACAGGCTGTCAAACTCTGAACTTAAAAATACTTACTAGCAGACCTGTAGTGAAAGGCAGAGAGGTTTCAAGGAGTATCCCTGCCCTGCAGCGTTAGACACAACACAGGCAGATTTGAACTAGCTGTGGCAGAACTGAGCTCAGAGGTGGCTCATCACCTGACAGTTTTTAACTGTGTCCATGTCTGAGATTCTGTGGTCATTTTCTAGGGTGTGCTCTTCCCCTCTTCTCTACGTTGGACATCGGACACATGAGTATCAGGGCAATGATGGATGTGGCATTAATGGTAAAAACTTTGAAAGACAATGATGTGCTAAATCCATCACTCTGTTCTTGCGTACACAGTGCTTGTGTGCAGCACGCTGCAGGTAGGAGGCAACAAACAATGGTGTTGGACAGTTTGAGGGAGAGGACCTTGTTGGAAGACAGTTTTACATTACTGCTGAAGAGGCAGGAGATGTCATTACAGAAGGCCTCAGTGTGAACTGGCAAAAGCTCATGCTATCTTCAAATAAAGTTTATCAAGGGAGTAGAGCAGAAAGTGCATTTTAGTGGTTAAAATGGAGAGATGAGAGGGAATGGGAGATCTCCCATTTGTGTGAACCTTGAAGAAGTTGTGTACAGTTACATCCTGCTCTTATCGTACTGATAAGACCTAAAGTTTGAGACATATAATCCTCAAGGACAGGCATAAATCAGAGGTGTTCTTTGACTCAGTATTCCAATTTTCTTTGCTCAAATCCTCCTAGTTTTCTGCTTTATGTCTTATTTTTGTGCAGTGCGAACACTCAGTCTGTTTACATGCACCTTGTACATTGTTTTCCTTTTCCATGGGTCACAGATTCGTTGTTGTTTCATCTCAATAACAAGTCAATGCACTGAAAATATTTCATTTCCAGTTAGCCTGGAAGCATTCATTTCTGTGTGATTTTTAGGGCAGCCCACTGTATGTTTGGAATCAAATCATGGAACAAACGTAGGGGTTTTTTAAGTAAATCAGACATTATAGAAACTATGTGTCTTCTTGTTTCATTAGATATGGCATTGTTGCATGTGCTTTCCCAGATTGATTAATTAGATTAGCTCAGCAGCTGCTGAGATTATATTAAAAAAGAATATGCAGTACAAGGGAGAGAAAGAAAGTTTCCCCAGTAAGCAGCAGGTACTGGTCCAAAGAGAGCTGTAGATGTGATATTCTTCCTTAGCCTCTGGGGCCTGCTTTTGAGAATGCCTTGAAAGTCTATCCATTCTCAGTATTTGCCTTTCAAAAGGCAATGCCACACTGTAAAAGCTGAGTCCATAGCAGCCTTCCTTACACAGTCCCTCCCGGACAGAAGTGGTGAGCCCTGGGTACTTTGTCAGAGGCTCTAACATCTGAAAACATGCTTCTCTCAGAAGGCCTGCTTCGGTACTGGTACCTGCAACAAACTTAGCTGCTGAGATATGCAGATGAAAACTGGTTGCTCATTTTATACAGAACCCTGGTTTCAACCATCTGTGTTCTTTTTGCCTTTTACCAGCTAAGATCTGTCAGGTGGGAACTCTCCTACTTCCTAGCTGTTCCCAGACAGCATACTGCAATGTTGGCATCCCAAATAACAAAGCAGGGGGGGTTGTGTAACATATATCTTCTCTGTGCTCTATTAACCACAGAAATTAAATTTAATTCTTCATGCCTGGAGTAACCGGGCAAGGGGACATGGAGGCAGGAACACCCTTTGTAAATAAAATTGTTAAAGTTGAATACAAAGTTCTGTATGGCCTTTTATGAGATCACACTGTTGTGACTACCCAAAAATCAATAGACAAAATAGAAAACAGTAAATAAAATCAATGTGGTTTCTGCTCAGCTGTAGAAATGAATAATGCACCTCACAGGTAGTTCCAGTTTTATAGGGTAGACAAGAACTACAGTGAACAGCAAAAGCACAAACCATTGGGTGCAGCCAGCAAGTGTGTGACACTGCGGAGCTGTTTAGGCCCACAGCAGTAGAGTGAGAATCCCAGGGCTGGGCTGAGTACAGAAGGGCCACACCAGAAAGGATGGTTTAGAAAAGTCCATTCAAACACAAGTTTGAATTAAAAGAAAAAAAAAAAAAGTCTTTTCCACTGAGATAAAAGATTATGTCAGTGATCTCTTCAACAATATGAATTTAGCTCTGTAAAATGGCATTAGACTGCCACTCTATGGAAAGACACAATCCAGCAGGTGCTCTGCCTTAGTTTCCCCCATAGTATTGCCAGTTTACCCTAATGGCTTATGGCTTCAAGGCCAGGTAGCTTGAAAAGGTCAACCCACCTCTGTCTCTCTTGTCCTTCCTTACAGTCTGAAGACAAAGTAGTCACATAAAGAGCTCTTCAGACCAGCCAAGTTGAATTTGCAGTGCCTGCAAAAAACCCTTACTACCTTGTTTTGTGGGCTGATACATCCTACCCTGTCTCTTATGGCTTTACCTTTGTGCAAATTCTACCCGTCTGCAGGGAACTCTGGTTAACCAAACTCTTCTCGAATAATTTCAGCTGGAATCTTCCCTGCTTACAGTTCCCAAATAAGAGTTCTGACCTTTCCAGCCCTTCTCTCACATGTATGAAATAAAGCTGATTGTGCTGGTGCAGTTTAGTGCCTACTGTAGGCAGAGAGAAATCACATTCTTAAAATTATAGAAAAGTTGCTCTATCATGGCAGAAAGAACAACCTTCCTGTCTTTCAGACAACAATTAGACACAAAACTTAAAGGAAACTTCCCTTGCTAGGGTCTTGCCCATAATAAATCAGATCTGTGACACAGTGTGTTGGTTTGGTTGGGACAGAGTTAATTTTCTTTAGAGTAGCTAGTAGGAGGATGTGTTTTGGATCTATGCTGAGAAGGTTTAGTTTATGGTTTAAACTAATTGGTTTAAACTAATGGTTTAGTTGTTGCCAAGCAATGTTTACATTAAGCCAAGGACTTTTCCAGTTTGTCATACAGCACCTGCATTCCCAGCTTTTTCTCTACAAGCAGCTGGGAGGAGACACAGCCAGGACAGCTGACCAAACTGACCAAAGGGACATTTCATGCCATAAGGCATCATGCTCAGTATATAAATTGAGGGGAGTGGGTTAGGGGGCACACTCAGGCTTTTGCTGCTCAGGGGCTAGCTGAGCATCAGTCGGCAGGTGGTGAGCAGTTGTATCAGTTGGAGGGTTTTCATATTATTAGCATCATTATTTTATTACATTTTATTTCATTTATTATTAATCTTTAAACTGTTCTTACCTCAAACCACAAGTTGTCTTCTTCCACCAACTCTCTCCCATTCCCAGTTGGGGATGGGATGGCAAATGAGTGACTGTGAGGTGCTTGATTGCAGCCTGGGGCTACACCATGACACACAGGCAACTCAGTCTGCAGTGGGCTGAAAGGGGGGGTCAGCACATCTCGAGGTTGCCTTGCCATCTTTGCTGGAAGCAGACATTATGAAAGATTTGCTTATGCACAGATACAGTAGAATAATGTGCTTCCCAGCTAGGGTAGGACTCTGAAAACAAAAGAATTATTGGTTGAAAAGGGATGAGAAATAAAATTGGTGAGAAATTCTGTTTATCAAGCATTTTCCCTCAGTCAAGTACTGACTGCCATTAGAGGTGCACACAGTGGCCAGCGACAG